TTTTTCCATTAGTCCCATTTTATGTTTAATTATATCCATTTTATTTTTAATGTCTTTTTTTTTGCAGGGACTTCTGTAGATCTTTTTCCCAATCTTTTATAATCATCCTCCAATGTTTTGAAAGTCTTTTTCTGTTTTATATTTCTTTTCCTTATATAGTCTATTATCAAGCCTCTTGTGTAGGCCTTCATCGTATCCCGGAGGTTCTGTAGAGATATATCCTCTTTTCTATTTTCTTTAAAAAAAGAAAGCAGGTTCTTTCTCTATTTTCTGTTTAAAGTCTTTTTCTTTTAATATCGTATTTTTTAAGGTCCATCCAGATCTCCTCTTATATCCTTTCCAAATAACTATCACTGGATTATGGTCTGCCCAGGTGCTTGTTTCTATTTCAATCTCTTGTATGTTGGCCAGTAATTCTGCTGACACCCATATCATATCTATTCTAGACCATGATGCATGTCTGTTTGAGTAAAAAGTGTATTGCTTACTTTCCACATTTCTCTCCCTCCATGCATCTTTTAAGTTAAATTCTTCTGTTATTTGAAAGAAAGATTTTGGTAATATCTTTCTAGCTTTCTTTGTTTATTTCTGCATTTTATATTCCAACCGATCATTAAATATTGCATTAAGATCTCCCATCATAACTATATTAGCATAGTCCAGTTTGATTATTTTCATATGTAATTTTTTTGTAGAATTCTTCTTGTTTGTCATTCGGAGCATAAATTGCAATCAGGAGTGTTTTTGTATTATTGTCCATTATTTCCACCATTAGTATTCTTCCATCATCATTGGTATAAATCAATTTTGCTGGGGTGGTCTCTTTAATATATAAAACCACACCTCTTTTTTTAGATTGTGCCAGCGATGTAAATAATTCCCTAATTTTTTTTGTTTAAATATATATTCATGTTGTATTTTGATATGTACTTCTTGTAGGCAAATTATATCAAATTTTAATTTCTCTAATTTGTGAAATACTTTCCTTCTTTTAGTAGCCAAATTAAGTCCATTTATATTAATCGTCATCAATTTTCTTTCATCCAGGCTTTGTGAGGGGTTTTTATTGCTCTAGTAGGTCTTAATTCTCATTGCTCTCTGGGTACACCACCTACTGCACCTTCTTCTTTTTCTTTTTCAATTACTGCTATACACTCCTGTTGGAATTCAATTAATGATTCTTCCTTTTGCTTCTTCCTCCTTTCCTCTGAAATATTCTAAGTAGAATAGCTCAGCTTTTTCAACTGTGTCAATTCTGTGTCTTAGTTCCTGTCAGGTGAACAAGAGACCTTCTGGCATCAGCCATCTGTAGTTTACTCCTCTTTTAAGTAACTCTTTAGTCAAAAATAAGTATTCTCTTCTCATCTCTCTTACATTTCTTGGTACCTGTTTCAGCACCACAATTTCTTTATCTTTATACTTTAAAGTTTTCTCTCTTGCCACCTGCAGTATCTGTGTCTTGATAATCTTTTTAGTGACTCTGATATGAACTTCTCTTGGTTCTCATTGCATATCTTGTATAGACACGGAACACTTCAGAAGGAATGAGACTTTAATTGCAGCAAATTCTCAACCACTTGCTCTAAGTCACTTGTTGCTACTCCCTTTTGTTGAATTGTGCCTTGTGCCCACGCAAAGCAATGCCTCACCCAAGCTATATGGTACATAGAACTTCTTCTATTTCAGATTATTTGTCCTAACTTTGTTTGTTTTGTCATTTGATTCCTGTCTCTTAGATCTCCTGGCCACTAACCGCTCAGTCCTGTTTCTTGGTCACCGGGGAAGTTTAGACTTTCGCTCCCTGTACCTAGATGAATACCGTGATCGCCTATTCATTGGAGGAAAGGACACCCTTTACTCGCTTCGGCTAGACCAAACCAATATGGATGTTAAGGAGGTAATGCTCTTAAAATGGATTGTACAGTATTTGTAATAGTACGGTACAGATTATTCATCTAGGAAAAATTAAAATTGCTCCCCATGGACCTTCGTCATGGTGACTTTGTAAAAGGAGAGCAATTTACTGATGATCATAGAACATAAAATGAAAGAAGCCAGAGACCATGACTTATTTATGACCATCAAATGGCCTCAATACTCAGCTGAGATTGGAACTAAAATGTCATGCTATAATTCAGGAATGTATTTATCATATGGTTTTCTTACTGATTAGCATTAGCTGAGCTTGTCTGGACTCCAAGCTAAGCAGGCTCAAGCCTGGGTAGTAGCAATAGCAATAGCACTTAGACATATATATCGCTTCACAGTGCTTTACAGCCCTCTCTAAGCGGATTGCAGAGTCAGCATATTGCCCGCAACAATCTGGGTCCTCATTTTACCCACCTTGGGAGGATGGAAGGCTGAGTCAAGCTTGAGCCTGGTGAGATTCGATCTGCCAAACTGCTGACAGCCGGAAGTCAGCAAAAGTAGCCTGCAGTACTGCATTCTAACCACTGCACCACCACAGCTTTAGTACCTGGTGAATGGAATGCTAGGACTGAAACCTAGATTGGGAAGGCTCCTCCCTTCTCATCCCAGAAGATGATGTTATTTCCGTATTGTTGCCAAGAAAACTACATGGACATATCTGTGAGCTCATTACGGATCAAGCTCAGCAAAGTGGAAGGAGACTTCAGTTTCTAAGAATCTGACTATTTGGAGACCTACTGTGGAGAAAAAGATGACCTGCTTGCAGTGGGGATAAAGATAAGGTAGAAGAGAAGAAGACTTCAAATCCTAGGTTTTAGCCAGCAGGACTGGATGCCTACCCTTTTCCACTGGAAGAGCGGCAGTCCACAGCTTGCAGATTACCAGTTCATTTCACCATGGGTACTCCAGCTGCTTCTCCATGACCACAGCAGCAAATGGGGGAGAGAAATCATTGGATTCCCTGCTCTGCAAAAAAATGGAAGTGAATTTTGAAACAGACATCTGTGCCATTTATGGGAACTTTTTGCAAATTGTTGAGATGCTAAGAGTTTGTCTTTATACTTGTGTTTATTAAACTTAGTTATATATTTCCCTCTTGCTGACCAGTTTAAATATTATTGGGAAAACTTGCCGTAAAATGTATACTTAACATTAATCTTCCATGTGATAATAGTCAAGTGTCTCTACAAGCAGATTGAGTTGTATTTGTTTTATATTTTTTATTAAACAAATGTTTAACAAGATAAAAACAATATAAATTTTAGAAAAAAAATAGTGAATAGATAAGAAAGAAAATAGGAAAAAGAATACAGAAAAGAATGAAAAAGAAAAGATTATTAAAAAGGGCTCCCAGTCTTCTTAGCAGTTATTATAAATTCTTTTATATTTTGTTCTCTCTCTCTAAGTTTACATCATAATTTCCTGCTTTCCAAAGTCTACGCTTTCTAATCAAAAGTTCATTTTCCCATTCTTTTACAAAAAGTCCATAAAGGGTTTCCAATCACTAAATATGATTATTTGTCTTTCTTTAATCAAACAGGTCAATTTTGTCTTCTATTTTAATTCTGTTATTTTTAGCAACCATTCCTCCATTGTGGCTATTTCACCGTCTTGCATATTGACTTCTATTTGTCTCTGTGTGTGGTTTTAAATGTGCTCATTGAATGTTGCTCTAGCATAACCAAACACTTTCCAGTAGTTTTAGATCAGGATATTAAATCATCCATAGAGGAGCTTTTCTTTCATAGAAGTTGAAACTTGAGATGGACAGAAGGAGCTCTGCAAAGTCAGACCTAAGTTCTGCTAGAGTCAAGAGTAGAGCGAACTTTATTAAATAGAAGCCAGAAATGTGACACCAGATTGGATAGATGGATGAGGGTTTTGCAAAACATACAGCCCAAAAGAGATTATATTGCAATTAAAATAATTGAAAGCATGGGAAGCTGAGACACAATCAGGTTTTGAGTAATTTATAGAAGTTTACAAAAGGATTTCTGCCATAATGTTAAATGAGTAAATCAACTGCTAGGTCGACCTTAGTATAAATTGAGATAGGAAATGAGATCTGACAGGTTAGGAAATTTTAGTACAAGTATTGTGCAAATTTCTTAATGGTAATTGTTCTGTTTCTTTGTTCATTAATTCTGTGAGATAGGCCATTAACATTTTCATAAGCCTATAAAGAAAAAAAATCAAGACCATCTAGAGGGAATCTGACCAATGAGTAATTAAATCCATTTTTTTTTTCCTCTTTTGGTGTGGCCAACATTGTATTCTTTAAATCATGCATGTTGAAGAGAATTGCTTGATCCCATTTGTGCAAGGATGTATATTCAGTGGAAGCTATTTGCAAATCCATAAGGCTGTAACTTCAAGGTAAATTATGGACTGTGTGCCATTTGTTCTTTGTGGGATCACTGCAAATGCACAGAACTTATATGAATGGAACATATGTTTAAATATTTTCTACAACTATTGTAATGGGTTTAGTCAATATAGGGTTTCCCATTGAAGCCTGTCTTCTTTGTATCATTGGTCTCTGCCTGGCCCACATGAGTCACAAACAAATTTTTCCTCCAATCCATGTAAAGATGTAATATAAAGTTACTTTGCCTAAGGGGGCGGTGGTGGCTCATGTGGTAAGACGCTGGGCCTGTGCACCACTGAGGTCGGCTGTTCGGCAGTTCGATTCCCATGAGTGAATAAACCACGCAAGGACAAGAAAGGAGCCTCCCCCGAATGCCTGCTGGCATTCAGGCATCCTGTGGGTAAAGACGAAACTGCCCAAAAAAATTCCTTTCACAGAGGCAGCCAGCCACCTTGGTGATCCCTGGCTAACATGTGCCATATGCTAAATAAATAAATAAATAAATAAATAAACTAACTGCCTAAATCTGGTTGTACCGAATCAGTCAATAAAAGAAAAGTGATTTCATTAATCTGAAAAATATAATAGATGCAGTGACAACAATAGAAACACCAAGTTATGGACTGTGTTATATCTGTGTGTACTGAATCTAGACTGAAGAGATTTATGTGTATGGATGTTTGGGAGAAGAGAAAATGCAATAGATAACCTCTGAGTGTGCAGCTACATATGTCTTGGAATTAGTTCTGCTTTCTTTAATCCAGTATCATCATTAGCCATGCCAAATGGAAAGTTATAGAGGTTGGTCTACTGTATAGAGGAAGTCTTCATTAACAGCTTTGAAAAAAGTAGGAATCCAGCATGTAGGGAATAAAGAGTTATAATCTATAGTTGCATTTAATCAGATACTATTTTGACTTTCAGCTAAATGGCCCCGGCCAGGGATGTGTTTGTCTTCTCTTCAGTTTTTATATGGAAAGGAAGGACATCCAAAACAACATGGGTTTTAAAGCAGGAAGGATCACCAATAAGATCAGGAGTACTTCTGAAATGGTTTTATAGAGTTATCTGTTGAAAAATGTTCATTTTTCCCTTTAGATCAATTCTATCATGATCTTATGATGCATCCTGGAGTATTCTGCTCAAATGTTGCATTAGTTGTGACATATACTTGGGTGCCTAAATGGAGTCATACACTATCATTCATTGATGTTGGTCACTTCCATTTTTGGTGCTTTGGTTTTTAAAATACGGCAGCTGAAAGCCAAAATTATGGTTTTCATTTTAAATAGCCTTCAGGCATTTATATTGCTTACCCTACTAACCTACAGGAGTCCATCCCTGTTGATATTTTATTAATAAAAGACATTGAGACACGCTTGTCTGGTATATTCTATGGGACAAGAGCAAATTTATTCTCCTTAATTATACATCTTGGCTTCTTATGGCCGTTTTGAAAGGAAGATTTTGAGCACCCCTGTATTTGGATGAAATCCTAGCCAGTTGTAGACTGTTAAGTTTTTTAGAATAGCAATTTGTCATTTATGCATAGCTAAGTTCCTGAGGGTGTGAGACCACACAAAAGAGAAATTAAAAGTCAACATTTACTCCTCTACACTTCTTTTTAAAAATGAATGTTTCTCTACAATTCTCTGCCAGCCCATCCACCAGTAAAACAAACTTTATAAATCAGGTCTTGGCTTGCATAAACAAGTAGGGATAAAAGTGCCAAGTTGTAGAGTCAGGTTAGGGTTAATCAGAAGTCCCTTATTTAAGATTTTATCTTAATTCTCTCCTGTGTCATGAAACTACAGCTCAGTAATGTAATTACTATGTTTTTATTTCAGATAAAACAATCCCAGAGACTCCTTTATATTTGAAATATTGAGATAGCCTCTTAAGTTCATTTTCTCAGAGTAGATAGATGAATAGATTAATTCCAAGCAGCATAATAAAATTCAGTTCTATTTTTAACATTGAACTGTGCTGTCCTGCCCTCCCTCCCTCTGTCTCTCTCTCTGTCTCTCTCTGTCTCTGTCTCTCTGTCTCTCTGTCTCTCTCTCTCTCTCTGTCTCTCTCTGTCTCTCTCTCTCTGTTTCTCTCAGACAGACAGACAGATGTACGTACGTTAGGAGTCTTTATTAGGGCTTCCAAACCTAAATTAGTATTCCCCAGCAGTTTCCTTCACCAACACCAGCACACCCCCAATGAGTTCAACAGGCTATTCAAGAGAAGCCAGTGCCACTCCACAGCTCAAAGGCAAGGCAAATCCACCAGGCAAAGGCAAGTCCAGAGTGCCAGAGGCATGATCTGAAGTTCAAGGTACAGAATCCAGTTGGAGAGTCAAGACAAGAATCACAAAGGCTAAGGACACACAGCAAGGAAATGGGCACATTGTTCCCAGCATCATTACAATCCACTTGCATAACTAAATAGCTGCTTCATGCTTCCTGCCCTATCAAGAAGGGCAAGGCTGCCGCCTCGCAAATAGCCTGGCTGATCTTTATTGTACCTGCCTCCTCTCAGCCCTATGTGCTCTTGGATTGGGAGGAGGAGGAGGAAATTCTTCCTGATCTCCACTGACCAGCTACAGCTGTGTGCCTTCTCTATCTGAAGCCTCTGGGCTTCCCAGCTGCAAATGTGCCTCTCCTGTCCCTAGCTCAACCAGTTGCTTGTCCAATTGCTCCACTGTGCTCAACCCCTCCTCTCCTGGCTCAGCCTCTGGCAGTCTTCAAATGTTCCTCCACCAACAACCCTGGATCCTGCTCTTCCTTGTCTGAACTAACATCTGGGGAAGCATCCGAAGAAGGCATCACACGAACTTTCGCTTTTTTTCATGTCTTTTAGTGTCTTTCTTTTTTTATTAAACAAAATCTTTATTAAATATTAAAAAGATAAATACAAAATATAAAATACAAAACATTTTGTTAAAAACAAAAAACACTATACACATTACACATTAATTAGACGGTGCTTATATATCAAATATTATTCTAATACTTATTTCATATATCTGGTTATTACTTTTACCTCTTTATAGTATTCCTTCCTTATTTATTTACTTGCTGGTTTCTATTGTTTATCCATTTGTACCAGATGTCTTCTAGTTTCATTATCTAGTTTTCACTTTTGATAATTCTAACATTTCTGACGAATGATCTAATTTGTGGTCCATTTTCTTAGCCTCCCATTGCCTTGCTTTCCCTTAGTCATCCTTGAGAAACCCTTAATGTTGCTTCTGAGCCTTGCCAGGCACGACTCCCTCAACTTGCAAGCCATAGCCAGTGCATATAAAGCCAGCCTGCTTTCCTTTGTTTTGTCTGCACCAATTGCAAATCATAACCACTTTCAGGAATCTATTACTGCTGGTTGAGTGAGTGTGAAATGTTTAACCTGGAGGCAGGGAGCATGGTAGAGGATGGGCAGTCAATCTGCCAATTTAAAAAAAAATAACTTCAGGAGGAACATGCTTACTTCAGTATTCCACCCACAATAGAAGCATGAGAGAGTTTTAAAAGCTGGTTTTCTACTTTTGGAAAGAATCTAGATTTTTTTTTGGCTGCTTGTAATCTACTAGTATGATTTTGCAACTGGTGGCATGAGAGAGATGGGATCATGTCCAGCAGAAAATTGGGGTGGAATATTTTCCTCCCTGGTGAATATGTGTTATTCTCTTTTCCTTTCACTGATTATTTTCTTCTTTATTTCTCTTTTTGTTTAGAGCTAATTTGCTAAGATTTTTTTTGATAGTCACTATATATGATTTATAATGCTTGATTATTTTGTATTTAAGTTTATTCTGAGTTATTCTTTCTTCCCTTCTGCTGTTTTGTTTAAATTCTATCATCACTTCATTGTTGTTGTATCTCATGAGTTCCGTTCTTATTTTTGCTTGGTTCAACCATTTATCAATTGTCCACTTGTCTTTATGAATTTATTTGAACTACTCATTTTAATGACTGAGGTGGTTTTCCCCTTGTCTCATCTCTTTATCTGCTTAATGCTTTCAACTGCATTTGGCATTTATTACATAACATAAACATTATACTCATTTTAGAGTTATGATAATTTCTTAATTTGCTCCTTCTTCTGCAGAGAGAAACTATTTTTTCTATGTCAGTTCAGAGTTGAGGGTTCTTTGTTGAATCCAAAAATGTTCCGTCCAAAGTGCTGCTCCATCTGTTTGCTTGGCTGCTTGTGGCCTTAACACTGAGAAAGATCTGTGCGGTGCGGAGGGGGGAGATAAGTAAATTTGATAATATTATCTCTGGGAGAGATAATATTTTATTCCTGATAACTGGAACCAACTTTCCAAAGATTTGTGATATTTCCAAAATATATCTTAGAAAACAGATCTTGAAACTTGGGATTTACTGAATTGAAACTACTCTTCTGACTCAGAAGATTTCCCCAGTCCCTAAGACATGCTTTTCAATTGATTTGAGCTCAAGTTTGTTTTCTTTTACAGATTTACTGGCCACCTCTTCCTGGGCAGAAAGAAGAATGCTTCCAGAAAGGAAAGGACTTAGCGGTAGGTCATTCCATTGCTTGTAAAATTTCAAAATTTGCTAAATGTCATCTCCACTCTGTGATATATTTGAAATGAATTTGCAGTTTCTGAAAATGTCTGTGGTCACCTTGAACTTATTGGATTATCTTTTTCAAAAGTTTCATTCAGTCCTTCTACCCAAAGGATTCATCCATGGTTGAACATCACTCCCTGCCCTAACTTAAGGAAATTACACTCCATGAGGAAGGAGGAGATTAGGAATCTATTTCCTCACTTGTACCAACCTAAGCGCAAACATGACTTGGTATCTGCTGTGTCCTATGGCATTTTTCATCTGATGGTACTTGGGTCTCAAACTGCCGAGTTCCGGTCCACAAATCCAGCGTTTGAATTGCTAGGCCACCACATCCCTTGTGTATAAATAGTGTGGAATACACTTTTAATGCTTTGAGCTCAACTCCTATTCCTGGTTAGTTCTGCCTGACTCTCACAGGGCCATTATTGGATACTCTTTATGATTTGGTGACCATTATTTTTCTAAGATTATCTGATATTAACTTCTCTTTTGAGTTTTTTTAAACTTATTCTTGTGTCATCAGCATCTAACACTCTTGTCTTTTCTTGGCTTCCCGGTGGATTGCTTCAGTTTTCCAAAACATTAGCATCTTCTCCAGTAACCTTTGTATTATACGCTCAAAATAGCATAGCTCCATTATTAGTGTTTCTAGGGAGTTGTCGAATCTTACTTAATCCAATATTGAATGATCTGTTCTTTTTGTGGGCTAGGGTATTCTCAGCTTTTTCTCCAGCACCACAGGGTAAAGGCATTAGCACAATGTTTGTTTGTTTGTTTGTTTGTTTGTTTGTTTGTTTGTTTATTTATTTATTTATTTATTTATTTATTTATTTATTTATTTATTTATTTATTTATTTATTTATTTTGTCAAGAGCTTACAATATAGCAGAAACAAGAACAAACATAAGTTTAAATACAAGAAATAGGAACTAATAATTGGGGACAATAGGACAGGGACGGTAGGCACGATTGTGCACTTATGCACACCCCTTACAGACCTCTTAGGAATGGGGTGAGGTCAGTAGAGGTTAGTTTGAGGGTAAAGGAATGGGGGTTTGAGCAGGTGACAACAGAATCAGGTAGTGAGTTCCAGACATTGATCACTCTGTTTGCAAAAATCGTACTTCCTGCAATCAAACTTGGAGTGGTTTACATTTAGTTTATATTAGTTCTGTGCTCTTGTGTCATCAGTTTGAGCTCCCCCCTTGATTCTGATGTTATTCCTTGGGGTACTGTACTCTATACCTTTGAAATTTGGGGTACTTATTGCTGAAATTCCATCTTCCTTGCAGATAGGGGAAGCCAGAACTGATTAGCTATTGATTGTAAAGCACATTCTTGGGAGGCATCAAATTGTCCACTGGATTGCATTTTGGTGGTAGATTCACTATAGATCTTTTTACTACATAGTGCCTATTCTTTGCTTCTACATCATGTGAGCAATAATCTGAGACAAGTGGGGGGGGAGGAGAAATATGGGGTCTATAAGGGCCCTGGGATCTTTTGTTTACAGTCTATCTCACTGTAATGGTTCTCAAGAGTGAGTGTTACTCCCTTCAGCCTTATGGTATTTATTTTGAAGTCTGCAAAAAAAAAAAAAAAAAGCTGCAGGCTTTGAAGGGAGTCTTAAAATGCTCATTCTTTGCTTTTACAAACACAAAATGCAAAAAAGCCCATTCTTTTAGCTACAGAAAAAAAGTATTCTTTTCCCAGCATTTCTGCTTTTAATAGGATACATGAGAACCTGACCAATGTTATCCAGAAGGAATAGATCAATAGAAGCAATGATTACACTTATAGAATACACCAGCTATTAAAGACTCACTAATGTAATTGAGTTAAAATGCCTTGTCTTCACTATCCTCCTTGTTGGTTAAAAGCATTGTTAGAATAATAAAAGTGGAAAATATATCCAGTTCCCCAGTACATTTTTAGACTGTGGCTTAGAGGTCCTATAACGTTTGTTGCCAGACACATTCTAGGTTTAGCTTATAGTCTTTCCACTTTTTTATAAAATGAAGCCTTACGTAATACACACCAAGAGTCATTAAGGATTGCTGGATTTTTACTTTTTCAAGGAACTCTTATTTTTACTTATCCATATTTATATCCAGTGCTGTTCAGTGGATGGAGCTGAAGAACTGAGGGTTGGTAGTGGATTTGATAACAATGAAAAAAGAACTTTGCTTCTTGCCTCTCTTGGGGCAGGAGAAGGAATGGAACAATTCTCCTGTTGCAGCTCTTGCTTTGATCCGTCCTCTGTAGGAGGTGAGACACAGCTTATTTCAGCAAGGGCATTTTGATGCCAGATATTGTGAGGAGGGGGAAAGAACACAATTAATCTGCCTTTGTAATTCCAGGCTATTCTGCATTTTGTTGCTATTAGAGTTTAATGCTATCTGGTTTTACATTTCAATTGCCTTTTAACAATCATATAAATTATTCATCATAATTTGGTTGTATGATCGCAGACAAATATTATATAAATAACTTAATAGGAAATGGCAATTTGTTTTCTAAACAATTATTCAAAGAGATTATTTTAAATTTCTCCCTTTTTTACTTAGGTACTGTTGCTCAGCTATTTGGACTTTCAGTTCATCAATAGGTGGATATGTTTGTAAGCACTTTGTACATCTTCTCTGCTTTAAGATTTGTGAAACAATCTATTGCATAAAGAGAAAAGAAGATGAATTAATACGATGGATTGTTTTCCACATTGAATTCTAGTGCCATCTTGGCTGAAGAAAAGAAGTTTCTCCTGGAGTATATTTAAAAGTCTGAGAGTTAGAAGGGTTTTCTAAACACCACAAATCAGCAAAATGGAAACAGGTTAATCATAGTCGACAGATTCATTAGAACTCTCCGTGTCATAGAAAAATAACAGTAGTAGTAGAAGGAAGGGGGAGAAGGAAGGAGGAAGGAGGAAAGAAGAAGGAAGCTAATTCATGGGGGGAGAGTTGGATGCAGGAAAATAATTAGTTCAGGCCAGTCAACTTGATGCCTTCCAGATGTTTTGAGTTATAATTCACATAATCCCTTGCCGTTAGATATGGTGGTGTATACGCAGGTGTCTTTATTTTAGTTTTACAATATCTATCATTGTAATCTCGTTTGTAGCCTAGTCTAAGGAATAGGGAACTCTTTGAAGCTGAGATCTTGAGTTTCTGGATTCCTAAATCATAATGGGACATGAAAAAGACAGCCAGTGTGTTTAATAGATGGGACCAGCACCAAGGAGATTCAGGTTATGTCCATCTTTAGCCATGGAACCCTGTTGGTTTAGGTTGTGGCAGTCATTCTTTGTCATTGGACTCCTTGACGCTCTCGGTTTTCTTGCAGAGATTTCATTAACGACTAGACAACATCATCAATGCTAGCAAGAAAATAATCAAGCTCAGAGAGCACCAGGGACTCCATAGCTCAACCCTGAGCTACAAATATTTATTGGTCCCATTCTCTGTCAATCCAATCATTCTCAGAGGATGGCTACTATTAGGATAAATTGAAAGGCAATCCCAGTGTAAGAACCTTGAGCTCTTGACAAAAAGATGGGTTAGAAATCCAATGAATAATTGCACTCATTTTTTATTTTTCCATGTCTAGGATTTTCAAGTGTGATAAATTTTAAAAGATAGCAAAATAATCTAACAAAAACATCGTTCTGTAAGATATTAATTTCAAATTTCATAAATATAGTCCTAAATCCAGCATATTAAACCTGCAAATTTGTGCTAAATCACAGTTCCTAAGGTATTGAAAGAAAAATAAAAGCCTGCTATGACAAAATTGAAAATGTTTTAAAATATGTGTTTTCTGCACTTTTGCCATCCAGACCAGGATAATTTAATACAAAATATTTTTAAGAGTGCCATCTTTTTCTGCTATTACATATATGATAACAAATGTTATGCCTGTTTATTGTTCATTGAAAGAACAACATTTTCAGATTAAAAGGAATTAATCTGATATGAAACACAAATCTCTGGTTGAGACCTATCCACTGTTTATTCTGGTAAGATCCTCAAAGCAAAAAGTTGAAAGCTGAAAATATGGAATTGATTATCAGGCTATGAAAGAATTAAAATAAATGACTCTTCTTTGGAAACTGAAGAAGAGTAACAAGGCAGAAAATAAATCACTCGAAGGGCAGGCTGGCTTTTTAATTATATTTTGGAAATGAGATAATTTTGCTTTTGAATAAGCATTTTATTATGAGAAACTTGGGAATTACTGTAGCTCTGCCTTCTTCAATCTCATGCCCGGCCAGATGTCTTTAGGAGTACAATTCCCAGAATCCCGAGTCATCAGGGCCCGGAATTGTGCCTTTTGGGAATTATGGGAATTGCTCATGTGCCTGGAACATACTGAACTGGGGAACGCTGCCTGTTTCAAAGTGTCTGGGCTGCTTTTGCTCAATTTTCCTCAATCTCTTGAGCAGGAAAAATATATGAAGGTAATTAGCAGCACCAGCAATGTCATTATTGGCTCAAAGACTAACAAAGGAATAATTGATGGTATTATAAGATGAATTACAACATGGGTGTCAAGCTTTTTGGCTTGCCCAGGCTGCATTAAGTGAAGGGGAATTGTCTTTGGGCCTCATATATAAAGTATACAATAGAGTTAATGTATATAAATATTGCTAAAACAATCACATAATAATGTTAAAAGTTTACAATCTTATGGGACTGCATTACTAGCAGTCCAGGGCTGCGTGCTGGCCACGTGTTGGACATGCCTGAATTGTAAGGATCTCTGTCCAAATAAATACGCTAGAGATGAATTAGATCCAATTTGGATGGATATATAGAATTCTTCCCCAACTGGAGGCACCACAGAGTTTGAGAGGCAGAATGGTGGGAGAGCATATTCAAAAGTAAAAGTAAGATTTCATTCATTTATATTTAATTAAAATTAAGTACAGGTGGCCTTTGACTTACAG